ATGTAAAATCATTATCAACAATCATGTAATTGTCTATTGCTTTTAATGTTTTATTATTAAATCGTTTTATGGTGAGACCATTTATTAAAATTTCGGAAATTATTTTCTTTTTCCTCATTTTAACATGATTCAAATATTCAACAAAAAAAGTAGTTGAATCAATGAACCTTATGTGTCATTTTATTTAGAGACTCAAAACTTTTTGCTTTCTACACAAACAAAAGTCTGGCGATTGAGTTATTTGAGGCTACAAAACAAATAAAAAGGACAGTTTTTCTTGTTTTATGTCAATTTCATAAAGGAGAAAACTATTTGCCGTAAAATGCAAGAAACTAAACAGCAATTGTGTTCTTTCTCTCCTCGCCATGAAGAGGAAGAGATCACATCAAAATTCGGTACGAAAGAAGTAACCTTCAAACCTCTGGAGCTGCTCATGTAAGTGTTGATTCAATGATTTAGCTGAGAAGAGCTTCGTTCTTGTATAACTCATCTAAATCCACGCTCACGTTCAAACCCAAGCTTAGCAACGCATTAACCATGGAAGGGATGTTTGATTTCAATGAAGCAGCTAGAGCCTGTTTCATCATTACAAAGAGAGGATTATATACACTTTTAGATAAGAAGTTTAAGTTTCAAATAACAGATAAAGAGGATTTAACCTTCTTATCTTCCTCGTTCTGGTGCCTGATAACGTCCACCGGCCATTCATTAACCAGTTTCTTGAATTCGGTCGAGACTGCTGATTTTTTCTCATCAGTAAATGTCTGCGTATTCAGTCACACACATATCTTTAAATTAAACACACATCAAAATTAAAAACGGTTTTATTAAAAGAGAAGAGAGATTAGGGGAAGGCTCTGGGTTTTACCTGGCAGATAACCTGGATGACAGCAGCAGCTTCTTCGGGTTTACTTTCTAGTAGGAAACCCTGCGATAAGTGAGCGATGTTTCAAAGAATAATTCGACGTTTGATAATAATAACATGAGAACTGAGAAAGAGATGAGATACCTTTGCACAAGAAAAAGCAGTAGAAAGGGTGTGTTTACTGCATGTCTCAGATCTCAGTTTATCTACTTTCCATAATGACTCGGTATCCCCTGATAACAAAAGTTTGACATAATCAGCAATCAGCATCAGAGTACGAAAAATCCTTTACGGTCTGTTTCTTGCATTAATAGAAGCAGTCTATCAATGCAAGTATAAAAGAGGAAACAAAACAACACCAAAATGTACCTCTCTTGGCAGCAAATTCCATCCATGTATCAAATGTGGTCTTCCTAAACTTCACTCCAGCCTTGGAGAATTTTTTCGAGTACTTGGCTAGTAGATCCCACTTATCTGTATCATGACAAATCCTGCAAAAAAAATCCAGTTAAAATTCATTTCATTATAAGAAAGCACATGCAATGTAAAACAAGAGCAACATAACAATTTTACACACCTGAAAACTAAATCTGCTGTACCGGGTTGTAGAGGCAGGTCATTAGTTTTCAGGAGTTTCATTACCTCGTCCATGAGTTCAGAATCCTTGTGTTCTAGTGCATATGACTACATGAAATCCAGAATATGTCTTAAAAGTCTATGTTTACAGAAAAACAACCGAGAAAATTATAGACATGCAATACCAATAGATGGTGTGCAGATGCAACACTAGGTGTCAAACCGTGAACATTATGTTTCCACAGAGCCTTCTTTCCTGCAACCACAAAGAACTGCATTAGCACCCTCGATCCTGGGAACCGCTACAGACGAAATATTTAAAACAGTATGTTCGGTCAGATCTTAATAAAAGTCGAAAGCAAAAGTAACTCCTACAGAATAAGAAGAGTACCAGAGTCAATAGCCCCAACACGTACACAAGTCTTAGCAACTTGTTGGCATAGATTGCTATTGAAGTTGTCATGAATACGAAGATTGGATAATCTCTGCAATCCAGAAACAGCAAACTTTAAGCATCGATTAACAATACACTCTGTGAATAAATATAAGAAATATAACTAGGACAGAACAAGGCAAGTAAGTACTGACAAATCTCCGGAGATTCTGAAGAATGTCAAAGAGAAGATTGATGTCATCCTGATTCTGGCAGTTCTCAATCAACGACCACAACCAAGCATTTGGAGGCATCGATCTCTTGACATTTACAGAATCAAGAATCTTATCATGCAATTCCTTGACAGTTACTGCGCAGCAGAGGAAAATGCAATGAGAAACCATATTGGTGAGCTCAAGACGTAATTTAAAAACAACGCCACATATCAGCAACCTGTAGGATTTCCCGCAGGCTTTTCCGCTTCAGATGAAAAGTTTGATTTAGGAATCAACAAGCTCATAGACGACGAGCGACTGTCAAAGTGACTGCATCTATCCATCCCTGCAAAACCACCGTCATCTAAATAACTCAACCATACATACACGTCCAAGTTTGAGATCCCATTCAGGATTACAAGATCAATATATATATGCATGCTTCCATTTCCACCACACCATAAACTGAATTCATTACACACCTACATTCAAAGAGATACTTTACCCTTTAGAAAGATTAGTATGTATCTCATAAACACATACACAGTACCTAATTACTCATGGTCAAGATCACATTTTTATAAAGTGGTGTCACTCTTAAAGACTAACAGTGAACCAAGCTCGAATTTTTTCAGGGTTTTATCACCTTCAATGGCTACATTTTCCAACCTTATACAAGTTACATCTCACTCAATCTGAATATAGAGAAAACAATGTAAATCCATAGTTCATTACTTTAAAGGCTTCTGCTTTAACTAGTCAAGGAAGCTGATACAATCACATTCCCAAGAAATTGCCATTTCCAAAGCATCGATAACGAAATTAGGGATAATTAAATTTCGCAATAGGCATGTGAAATGATTAGAAAAACAGAGTACCTTGTAATACGGAGGAAGAAGTAGACGCATGATTTCGCCATTGGAAGGAACCGGAAGAGACGAATCTGAGATTAGCCTCGGGGATGATAATAATGGGTTTTAAGACCCTAGCGATTCTACGAGACCTCTGGAGAAATTGCATGACTCTGTGATTCACTGATTCTTAGTCAAGGTTGGATTTTTAACTGAGTTGCAAGATTGAGTGAAGGAAGAGACGATGATGGCTAGACTCCGGAATCAAAGATTTAGGGTTTATGTTTTAGACCACTAACAATACTTTATTTGCAAAATGTAAGTCCCTATATGTGCCCGTATTGCCTAATTCACCCTTAGGATATCAAATTACTTAATTTACACTTTTACTTCACTTTAATTACAATTAACCCTTTTTATTAACAAATACTCCCTTTGTCCCCATTGTATAAGATTTTCTACGCGGAGTTTAAGATTTATTTAAG